TTGATTCAAATTGATTATATATCTGTTTTTTTTCAGTGGTCTTTACATATTTTTTTTTACATGAACGAATAAATGAAAACAATAAGGACAATTACAAAATACTTCAATCCCTTGGTTAATAAAATAGACGCATAGTAAATAGTAAGCCTCGTTAGCTATAAACCTCACCTTGAACAAACAGGAAAGCATACACATCAAAAATCGTAAGGATTCATTAGAGTTAGCCAAAGAGTATCATAGTTCTATTTGATTGCTGCTTAAATCATTTATTTTGTCGGTTTTAAATCAGTGTCATTTAACTAAATGTGGTTTCTTTATGATAATTATTTCTTCAATCATATATATTTTCTAATAAATACCATACACTAAATGGCAAGATATCGACTCCAGATTGTGCTTGACAGTCAAAATGTTTAAAAAAAAAATGAAGGGTGTGATATGAATTAATCAGAAGGTGGCAGCAAGTGAAGATTAAGAATATAGATACTGAGTATCCTTTCACCTGATGAGGTGACAATTGAAGCGATAGTGAAAAAAGAGACGATTGTCTGTTTCCAATGTAGCAGAAAAACAACTCTGTCATGGATATATAAAGAATTAGTTACTTTTCAGCATTTTTAGTAATGAATGACAATAAAATATACTTCATCTTTGGAGGGAAATCGAGACACAATGGACATTAAGATCACGAAGTCTCTTTGAGAGTTGGCGTAAACATTGTAACTGGAGTAAACTACTAGACTTAACGGTTATGATAAAACGAGACGAGTTTATCTTTTGAGGTGTCGAATGTTATAAGTGAGTTACGTCCGTAATTGAAGGGTTAAATGTAGGTCAAATGGGAAATCTGCTACGAGGCGGCGAGCGTCTTTGATTTGGAAATGTTTGCTGAGACAAATAAACTGATAACTGCTAAAAAATTTCCTGATCCGCCATTGCCGGAATGTTGTCTTCATGAAGCTTGCTGAGAGAAAGAATCTGATAACTGCCTCAATATTTCCAGATTCGCCATCGATGGGAAGTTGTCTTTCTTGAAGCTTGTCGAGACAAATAAATTGATAAGTGACTAAAAATTTACAGATTTACCATTGTAGGAATGTTGTCTTCATTAAGCTTGCTGAGAGAAAGAATCTCATAGCTGTCTTAATATTACCAGATCCACCATCGCTGGGAAGTTGTCTTCGTGAAGATTGTTGAGAAAAATAAATTTATAAGTGATTAAAATTTCCAGATCCGCCATCGACGGAAAGTTGTCTTCGTGAAGCTTGCTGAGAAAAAGAATTTGATAACTTTGTAAAAATTTCCAGGCCAGCAAACACTGGAAATTTGTCGTGATGAAGCTTGGTGAGAAAAAGAAATTGATAACTGCCTAAACATTTCCCGACCCGCCATCACTGGAATATTGATGTAGCAAATATCTATGACGCACGTAATCAACAGATTTTGTTATGTTTACATATATCATTTTCATCACAAAGATATCATCGCGCGCCTTACTGATAATGTTGTTGTTCACTATTAATCATAACAGTTGAATGTCATTCAATTTCCATGCACATAATACTAGAAAGTTTGGATGTAAATTAAGAGTGGTCGTATTATAGAGAAGTACACTATTTGAGAAATCTTTACTCTGCTAAAAAATTATTTGAATCAGCATGTTTGCAAATACAGTTAGCACTATAGATAATAAAACCTAATGTAGGTAGGGGTTAATAATGACTGTTTACATACAATATTTGATATGTCGGATATATATATATTTTGTCATTATTCTTAATGTCGGCAATATTTGTTTCTCTCTCCTTTATTAATAAAACGTATTTATTTCCATAGTTTTTGTATATATATATATATATATATATATATATATATATATATGAAGAAAAATACATACGGAAAAAATAAACAAAAATCCTTATATACAATTATGCTGTTTTAATGTTAATATGTCAACGTCGGACGTTTCGGTCTAATAAACCATCTTCAGGACATATTCATAAATATAACATTATCAATATAACATGACAAAGATGATGTACATAAGAACGAGACTTATCCAAAAAGATAACTGAAAGTTTTATAAGATCAGCGCTCCGTTTAAAACATATTTTTCTTCATACTGTCGGATCTATATCCATATATTTGCTTACACATATATATATGTATATGTGTGTATGTGTGTATACACACACACACACACACACACACATATATATATATATATATGAAGCAGAGATTTGATTGAGTGAATCGTTTTGTATAACTTCCCAACACTCTTAAGTATAATTAATAAAGCCAGATATATTTTTAAATTGCATTTTTTGAGATAATAATGATTTACTAATTAAACCATTGTGGAGGGAACCGAGGTAGAATAATGACTTTAACAATTTTCTTTGTGCTAAAATAAATATAAGGAACCCAGGTGGATTTTGACCGCGTCTCTCCGACTTACAATTCCGGTGCATTATCCATTACGCAAACCGGACGACTAAGATCACAACACCGGATATTCCCAAGCGGTAACCCATCTAGATACTGACCAGTCTCGATGTTGTTTAACCTCGGTGATCGTACAGGAACCGGTGCTTCGCCGTGGTTTTTCATTAGCCCATATCAAACAGAAAACTATGATAGATTACAATCTTAAAATATATTACTGAGTAGTTCTAGTTAGCCTGTCCTCCTGAAAATCTGAAAATGTATTTGAAACGTTACCCGAGAGTAGAAACACGTAATGTCTAAGTACCCGTTTCATTTGTATTCTTTAATATCGTCAAAAATCAAATATTTTGGTGTAATATACGTAGGATGTATTAAAAATATTACAAAGTGATGATTGTATAACGGGGTCGCATTATAATGAAGGGTGGGATTTATTTCCTGTTTTTAGTTTCAGAGGTATGGGTTCGCATTATACTAGTTGTGGCCTGTTTAGGGCCCAAAAAGAAAGATACAGAAGACGAAGTTAGGTTAAAAATGTGTATTGAAATAAAAGATATACACAAAACAAAAGTGTTAGTAATAAGCAGATAGAGGTGTACGTCCGACCAGTAGGTTAACACTGGCTCTCCGCTACCCAACCGACTACCCTATGACGATATTTATTGCATATAAAATACAATTGTGGCGCAAGGCCGAAAAGCGGAGAAGTTGGGGGGGCTTGAAGTTGGTCATCACTACCTTATACCTAGCTAATCCGATTTACGACCCATTCATTCGTTACAATTTGCACATTCACCACAAAAACTCGTCCATCACCAATCAATCCTCCATACAGAATAAAACCGCATCCTCTCTCTTCAAAATGCCCACCGTGACATAAAAATTTACCGACTGACATACGACTCGGTATTTAATATCCCACACACCCAGGAGGAATATATGTGGCACAAGGCCGAGTTTAAAGTGGGTTTCTCCGAGCCCTTAGGCTCGGCCAAAAATATACCGTTTGAACCCGCCTAGACGGGTTCAGGTCCTGTCTACCTCCCCGGACGAAACCTTACCCTTCGGCAAAGCTTCGTCCGGGTGCCTCTCTGCTAACGCAGAGAGTTCGACAGAAGTCACACACAGTCAGAGACTGCTCTACGACTCTATATTTCACAGTCCACCCCGCACGAGGAATGTATGTGGCACAAGGCCGAGTTTAACGTGGATTACTCCGAGCCCGTAGGCTCGGCCAAAAATATCCCATTTGAACCCGCATAAGCGGGTTCGGGATCTGGCTACCTCCCCGGACGAAACTTTGCCCTTCGGCAAAGCCTCGTCCGGGTTCCTCTCTATTAAAGCAGAGAGTTCGACAGTGCAAGACATAAAGCCATTGAAGTATAAGAGACGGATATATTTAACCGTTTCGGCAGTGAAATGGTGGGACTGAGATGCCAACCTAGTAGCACGTTTAAATTCATGCAATTTGGGAACTAGTGACGTAGCTCGTTTGATCAGTTACCGTGAAATCATTTATAGAAAAGACAGAGGGAGGGGACGGCACGTCTGTGAGGTTTGGTTTGATTTGGTTTTGTTTGCTTTAAGGCATATCAACCTCAATAGTTTATTTAATGCTGACAAGATTTTTATTGCTGGTAATATCTTCTTCAAAAATGTAATGCTGGTAATATTTTTTCCATCAAAAATGTATTACTGGTAATTTTTTTTTCAAAAATATATTGCTCGAAATAATGTATCTCTGGTGATATTTTTTTTACAAAGTATATCTGGTATTAAAACATATTTTTACACTTTCATAGTGTTTGCCCCGGTTTGAGGGTTAATTATTTTCCCATAGTTGAGACCCTAACAGGTGCTACCACCCTGGGTAAGGGGGGACCGGGGAACACCAGCAATTAAGAGGCGGTTCCACGCTCCTCAATCAGAGGCCTTGGTGTTGGACGCAGTTCATCGTCTTACCCAGGATGCCGATGTAGTTTGTCTTTATAACCAGGCAAGGGCACGTCTGTGATAGAGCGACTGTACAGTAAGGATATCTATGGAAGTAGCCTTGCTAGAGAAGCTGTTATTGCTGGGGGAACTGAATACTATATGAGACAGTTTTATAGAAAATAAATACTTGGGTTAGAAAGATGATTTCTCTGGCAATTTTTCTTGAATGTTCTGAAAATGTCGTTAGAAACATATAAATACATTTTTGTTCTAGCAGAGAAGGATGTTGCAGATGAAATGAAGCAACAGAAATCTACCGATGTTTATCTACCGATTATGTGAACAAAGACGACCTTTTAGAGAAAACGGAAGAAAAAGGACACTCATTATTAACACCAGGAAGAGATGGTTGAGATTTATAACGCTCCTAATGAGGATAGATGTTTAGAAAGATTGATACTCACAGGACAGTTTGAAGGCAATCCGAACAAATGGAAACAACGCATAAACTACCAAGATAACTTAAGTTAATGGATGGTAGAAGGGGAATTACGAGAGATAAAAAAAGACAACATTTATTAAAAGCAACGAAGTAAAGGAAATTGTGAAGATCTATGACCGCCAACGCAATGAAGTGGGGTGTAAGTAGAGGAAGAAGAATAGGTCATTATTTAAAGAGACTCTTTCGCTCATAAAAAAATTAGTGAAGTTTTTTTTTTTGTTTTTTTTTTTCCTGGAAGAATTTTTCTAGATTAATATTTATTAGCATTTATTAAACTCCTCCAACCAAAACCTTTGTCAGAATCAGAAGATATTCGTTTTACCGATTCAGATGTGTGGTCATATTCATAATATCGATACTGCAGTAATTTAATTCCTGTTATATTTATTTTTACGCAGCCGTTATTTAAAATCAGTTCAAGTTTGGAACTGTACTTACAACCATTGATATTTACATGTTTATTTGTTTAATTTAATAGTATTAATTTTTTATACTGTCGTTATAGACTTTTAAAAAAATAGTTACTTTTAAATATCTATGATAGCTTAATATTAAGATAAACAAAAACAGACGAAAAATTATTAAAGTACTCTTCGAGAATAAGTCCCTCCTACAATTTACTTCTAAAATTTTATACTTCCATTTAACGATGGCTTACTGGACGCCAAAAATAAAAAAAAATGTTGCTACTCTGTGTATAAATATTTTTAAATAAAATTATGTGCATCTTCAATTACAAAATGAAATGTCCACACATAAAATAGCTGTTAGGAAAAAATACGTTTATACGACGGTAAATCAGAAACAAAAAGCAATTTTGAAATAACGCAAAGAACAACGCGGAGACGCTGACACGCGACACCAGGTATGCGTATGTGATGACGGGTAGCTCGCAGCCCAAAGCATTTCGTCGACTGTCAATGAGCAACGATGTTAGAAGTACGAACGCTACACACATCGATTGAACTGTTCTTGAACAAGGCGTTGCTCGCTTACTGTTAAGTCTGTGGAAATACATCGTCGGATGTTGGCACTGTATGGAGCAGGTACCACGAGTCAACGAAAAGCGTACGATTGGCTACAGCAACGTTAGTACAAGTCACCGCGATCGTGGGCATCAGCTATCGATATGCACAAGCCAACGCGCCTGATGATCTGTGGTACTGTAATGTTTATGCGCGTTGGATATCCAATCAAGAAAGCGACGCACATGTGGTTTCATCAGCAAACAAAAAGCTTCCTTTTAGAATTGATCATGTAGCCTGCTGAACAATATAATAAATGCTTTATATCCAAAAGTGATTTATAAATATGGTCTTTATCATTAGAAATAAGGATGTATAGAAATTGCCCATCCTTTTGATATACAATCGTATATTTGAATGGGTTTCTTTTGAATCAAGATTCAGCTTTGTATATTAACTTAGATTCTAATTGTCATCACGTCGGTACGCATAATTTGTTCTGCAGTTACAGGTGTATGTCTAATAAGTTTATGGTTGGCTGGTTATTTTACAATTGTGTTTTCTTTTACCATTTGTGGTATGTTTTTGTAGTAACTATAGCTATTTTTTAAACGATGTGTGCTAAATATTTTCTGTAGTTTGATTGATATTTAGAAAGTTATTGTCAATAACTCCCAGGAACATTTTTCCTTTAATTATTTTATTATATATTTTGAGCTCTATAACACTTCTATTTTGTAAATGTAATTATTACCGAGAAGATTTTCCTTCATGGTTGGTTCATAATAATAATAATAATAATAATAATAATAATAATAATAATAATAATAATAAACCAATCGCCCAGACATCCAAACAAAAAAAGTTTCTCCTTATTGATATGGCAGTCCCTGCAGACTGAAATGTATCTTTGAAGATAATTCAAAAAGCTGTCAAAATACAAGGACCTTAAAATCGAAATCTCAAAAATGTGGCATATGGGAACATCAATAATCCGTGTTGTAGTTGGAGCCCTAGGATTGGTTGGAAATGATTCCAGTAGACGAATAAAGGGATTCCTGGAAGCCCATGCCTCAAAGAAATAAAAAAAATTGTTCTCACAAGTACAGCCCACACTTTACAGAGGGCTTTGTCTATGTAAAAAAAAAATTATCTTCTATTTATTTACTTTTTATTGTTTAATTTTTGTCAGGGGAAAGTGTCATGATGCCATTTCTAACTTTATGTCTCTGGGCGGGACCCGGAATGAAATGTGTACACATCAAAAATCAAAGGAAATAATAATAATAATAATAATAATAATAATAATAATAATAATGTGTTAATCTGAAATGTAGATTCTGTGATAAATATTCAGAAACAATTGACAATCTTGTATCAGGTGGAATAGTGTACTACTGAATATCGAAGTCGCTATGATAGAGTGGGTCAATATATGCAATGGAAAAGCAAGTAAACTGCAAGAAACTTGTATATACTTCATCCAGGTATAGCACCTGTACCAATTTCATGGGACTATACAATACAATACAGAAAGACAGAACAATTAGTAAATCGCCTAGATTTCGTAATCAAAAACAACAAAACTGAATGTGCTTTCTTATTGACATAACACTCCCTGCAGACTGCCATGTATCTTTCAAGATCTGCAAAATAGTATCAAAATACAAGGATCTTGAAGTGGAAATATGAAAAGTTTTGCACGTAAAGGACATGTTGTACTTGGAGCATTTGATTTAATTGGAAAATT